GGCACACAATAGGTGTTCAATAAATATGTGTTGAATAAAGGGCTCTAGAAAATTATGAGAGTTCTGGAATGTTCTTAAGGTTCTACAGTGTTCTTAAGGATTCCAGAACAAAGTACAAGCTAAGCAGGGGGTTGCCGGGACTCCGTCCTGCATCACTTTGAGGCAAACATCCCCACTGAAAGGTGCCAAAGCCAACCCCACGGGCTTACATGTGCGGGTAGGAGGTGGTGTTCTTCACAGAGCTCCACGGCTCTGCAGGCTGCGGCGGAGCAAACCTCAGGGATCCGAGGGGAGGCTTGGCAAAGGGGACTCCCAGGAACTCGGCCACAGGCTGTGCGATTCCTTCCAGGTGGACATACTTCCCCAGGACCTTGCCATGCACGGTGTCCACCACAGGAGGCGAGGACGGGTGACCTGCTGGACATCGAGAGGAAATGAGGACACATCGGAGGTGCAAGGCTCGACCTGGATTCCAGGTGAGTTTTGCCACTTTCTAGGCGTGTGACCTTGAATAAGACACCTAAGCCCTCCAGGCCTCAGTTTCTCCTTATGTGAAAAATGGGTGAGGGTGACTGTCCTTCCTAACTCACAGAGGGTTTTAAGGAGCAAATTGGAACAGGAGGTGGAAAAGCACCCGGTCAGAAATAAATGCAAGAAGGAGAGCTGCTGAGAAAACAAGTCACTTGGTCTCCCTCTGAGCAGCCTCTGGAACATTCATCTGTTACATCCTGCACTGAGCCGCATGCAGGGTGACGGGGTGAACAGGAGGTGGCCCCTATTCCCAGGACCACTGAACCTCGCAAGGAGAAGGAGCCACATACACAGTCGACCCTAAATCCGGGAAGACGGTGGTGTCCTGGGAGAGGTACCAGGGAGGTGCTTCAGGCGGCAGAAGAGGGGTGAGGCCATCTGGCTGGTGGCGCATGGAGGGGCTGGGACCTGCAGCAGGAGGACTGAACGAGGGGAGATGAAAGCAGGGAGTGGTGTGAAGCAGACAGGAGAGAATGTGCCGAGGCTCGGAGAGAGCAAAATGCAGAGCCTGCCCGGGCAGGGC